TACACATAACACTCCTCTAGGACCTTCAAAGATACATAGGAGAGGTCCAAAGCTGTGAAAGGTTCATAACTTGTGCTGTAGGTCCAACAACAAGAGAGTGGGAATAGGACAGGAAGGAAAGAAATTGGTTGAACCGTTTTCAGAGCTCAACCAAGAAAGCTTAAAGGAAGTTCAGCTTTAGGGTATTTTCTGCTGTGACTGCTATGGAGTTGGAATACCAAGAAGCTGTGGTTACACATGTGGTTTTACGATACTTACTATCATGTTAAAATGTTATTGCCTCAAACAGTAAAACTGGTATAGGTTTGCTTTAATGATTCAACAAACTTTATGCCGAATAAATTACCATCTCCTGTCTCACAGATGAAATAAATGTAGTCTAAACTCTGTGTTATGTGCTCTTATATATGTACAGAAATGCAATCTTGCACTCCTATTTTACTTGGGCCAACTTTATCCTGACAGGAGATCTGACAGGTCTGGTCTTAATGGATGTAGCCAAGTTAAGCAGAGCAATAGCTTAAACAAGCAATGCTGCTTTAAACCAGATTTGGTTACACAAGTACATAATCTTTTAATTGCTGTTTGAAATATTCCTCAGATTTAGACTGAGCTGGTGTGGGATGGTGAATGTGAATTACACCAGCATAAAGAATTCCCAATGAAGACAATCTTATGACTGTATTATACAAAGCTGCTTTATTATTCTGCATATCCAAGTGTGAAACAGTCAGTCAGTCTTTCTCCTCCCGACATTGCTATGTCTATACAAGAGATTTAAATTTTTCCACAATCTGAGCTAGTTAATACAGTACAACAATAATGCTTTCTTACACAAGTCTAGCTGAAAGTCTCTGGCAGACAAATCTGGACAAGTCCTTCTGGGAGATTTTAAAACAACAGATTAATGTCCTTTGTCAAGGGCTATTAATCTGTGGTCAAAGGCTGGCAACAATCAGAAGGGAACACATACCCATGCCTTGGGTGTTCCAGTTCATACTCTGATATACTGCCTTAAGCTGTTGACAAAAGTGAGTAAATTGAAACAGTGACAAGCAGGCATCTTTTCCATTGTGTTGCCTCTGCTATGAAGAAGAGTCAAACGGCGTTTGGAGGACAAACAGGTACAGCACCATCTTAACTGCTGACATTTTTATGGACTAGTTTACAAGTCCGAGTCCTAAATATACTTTCACCAGAGTAACAGACCCAAATGTTTGTTACATTAGCACCACTTCCAGTCATGTAAACTGTACTCCACAGGCTCTTTGTTACACTGTGGTTATTACAGTTTTTTAAAAGAGCTTTAGCCGACAAGCATATTGCAAGGATGGAAGAAATCATCACATGCTCTGCAACTCTTAAAATATCAAAGCTGATACGATGATAATAGTCAATTAAATTCTTAGCATAACAGCTAAACGTTGCAGCTCAGTAACATGGAAACACTACAAACTATCACCTGCTGGAAGTTCATTCTGAGAAGCACTTTCTACTAGAGGATTTATAAAGTAGCCCACTTTAAAGGGAGCTGGAATTCCTGTAAACCTTATGGAAAGCTGAAACCCAAGCAGGAACAGGAATGAAGAACAGATAACACGCTGCTGAAGTTGAGAAAAGCTGCATTCAAAAGTGTGTGTGTGTGTGAACCAGGCTGTAAGTAACATATAAGAGGGGGGGAAATGCCTGAAGAGGTGAGAAACATGATGCCTGAAGAGACAAGATTTTGCACGATGCATTGAGCAGACATGCATAGGTACACATGCTGATGCAGCAAAGCGGTTCTTAGTCTTGGACTGATTTGAACAGTCTTGATTAATCTTCCCCAGAGACCTCTCTGGTTGTGAAGACAAACTGCTTTTTGATTGTGGTTAGAGGGGACACATCAAGAATTTCCCCATGGTTATTTTGTGATGTAGTTTTATTTCCGATCCTCTCCTCTTCCAGGATGGAATAGGCTGATTATTATTTTATTCCTGATTACTATTCAATACAGAATGATCAGAAATATCCCCAGAGCAGGCATAATCCTTTAAAGGTTATAGCCATTTTATGTCTTTTAACATTCCCTGGGATTCTCAGCTCAAGAATGAATGGAGACTATCTTTTATTCTGCTTATTTTTACCTATGGGTAAAGCTGCCACTTCCCTGACTCTCACTACTGCAAGAGTTAGTTCTCCATTTGCCTGTGCATAGCCTGTAAGTGTATTTCTTTCCTCTTCATCTCAAGTTGCATTGCTGCTATTCCAGCTCCCCAGAGTTAACACCTTGGGTGTAGGGTGACTTTGGTAAGTAGTTTTTGTGACATCAGGAGGATATTGCTAAAGGATAACATTGGCGTATTCGTTTTAAACATGCACTTATGGCAGAAATCACACAAATAACAATTAAATACTATCACTGACAAAACCAAAACAGTCCATCATAACATGTTACTTTCTAATTATTCTGCTTCCTAGCTGAAACAAACCTTCACACATCTCGGTTTGGCATCTACAAAACATTAATTTACATTTTACCTTGTGCACTTTGAATGCCTGGGATGACTGTCCATCACTTGTCACAATTCCAGCACTCTCCTGGCCCCTATGGACAAAATAAAATTAACATAAAGCACTGAATTGCTGAGAATTAAATACTTGAACATACAGTGGATTGGTGTTCTTTCATCTATTCTTTACAATATGAAATTTCAATGTAGGCCTATTGTTGTTTTATTTTACAGGCTTGTAATTACAGCTGGTTTCCTGCCCATGTTATGCTTCATTTCAAAACAGTCACATAAGGTTTCTGCCTAAGCCCACTGAATTTAGCAGGAATCTTTCCACTAATAAACACTGGCTCAGGCTCTTACTGCAGTCCTATTTCAGTGTGGGCATAAAATAACAGCAGATGCTTAATCTTAAAAGCCACTTTGCAGTGATAGTAGTCTAGGCTGTAGTAGTATGCTCAACAGCTACTCTATTTCTGCTTTGGGTGGTGGTGGGGGAGGTAGTAAGAAACGGATGGTTTTGTCTAGGGAGTGCATTATGTCTTCCACTGATCACCTCTGCAGAAGCTTTTGCGTTCTTGCCTTTAAGAAGACAAGCTCGCATTTACACCTCTAAAAGCTATATGTATGCTCCAATAAAAGCATTTGAGCACATAAACCTAGCATTGGGCATCACAGCTTCTGAACTCAAGCAAAACAAGTCTGGTGTACAGTGTCACTGCAAATGGAAATACTTCTCCTACAGATCACCCTTGGGCTGGCAGCTGCGCTTTACTGCTCAGAAGAGCTGTATCAGCTGGAATGACAGCGTTTTTCCAGCTTGCTCCCAGCCCTCCCCAGGCCTATCTGGGCTCCCCAAGGCTGTGCTGCTGGAGGCAGGCAGAGCGCTGCACGGCTGCCCAAGGCTTATATTTCAGTCCCTATCCATTGGAAAGGTATGCTTTGCAGACTGGATTGTTTGTGGGTGACAGTGCAGACCACTCCATCTCCTGTTAAAAGGCTTCCTGGAGAAAGGCAGTGTGTTACCTCTAAGAAAACTGCCCACTGTGCCTGTAGCCCTCTTAAGGACTTCGGTGGGCTAGTGAGCTCCCATCCACCCCCATAATAACGACTAAAAAGCAAACACGTTTTTTCTTTAAAAAGGAAACAGAGTATTTTTAGAATATCAGACAAAGATGCTACTTGTGCATTAGACTGGTTTAACTCAGCTGAAGTCACTGGAATTATTTAGTATAAGCAAGAATATAATTGGGCACAAAAAAATCTATGGAATGGATACTAAGGTACAACTGACTGTGCTCACTGTGAATCTTTTCCAGCTCCTAAAATTGGCCACTAACGGACCTAAAATGGATCACTAGCCCCAGTTGTACGTAAACCAAATTTTAAAGAACATTTGCTTACAGAAAGCAAAACAAAACAAGCTTCACACATATCTGAATGAATTTACCCTGTTATTGACACAGACCTTCAAGAGAAAAATCAGAGATGGAGGACATTCTTAAACCCATTTATTTTAACTCAGGAAGATGTCTCATCTATAAATGCAAAGATAGGTAGTAAACTTTAAAGACTGATACACAGCATTCAGCAACTTTTAATTCCAATGTCAATATTACAGGCAATTTCCATTTAAATACTGGCACTGTCCCTTTAAACATCAACAAAATTAGCAGCAAGAAAGAGGGATGTTAGAAAGAGGGAGGCAAACATCCTAGCGAAGGTCTATGGCGAGTCAAAGGCCCTTGTCAAGCCATTGGGTTATGCCTTTCACGTAATGCTAATGAAACAGAAGGAAGCTCAGTATCATTACCACAAAGTGCACACAATTCTATCAATTCAGCCAGATTTTGAAGAATGCAAGTTTTTTATTAAACATCAGTAATAACCAGTGAATATTAGTGCTTAAAATGGGCATATACGACCCCTGATTCAAAGCCAACTGAGAACAAACACAAAGCAGGACGACCCCATCCACATTAGTGTCGTGTCAACCACTGCAGCTTGTTCGGCAGCTGTGTTCCACGGTTTCCAGCTGTTATCCCGCAGGAGGCGGGAGCTGCCGCCGCGCCCACCCCACCAAGGGCGAGCTTTTACCCCGGGGGGGGGGGGCCCTGCCGCAGCGCCCACCCCACCAAGGGCAGACACGAATGGGTTCTACGAGGTTCTCTTCATGTGTGTGTTTGTGGGTTTATTTTAAGGCACAAGACAGCATGACCCTCTATATTCCCTGTGTCCTGGGAATAGAGAGGACAGCGTTGGCAGGGCAGCCCCTTCCCCCAGAAGGGTTAACACCACTCCACCACAAAGCCCCAGCGGCTTCTCCCGCGGGATCCAGCGCCGAGCCCGCTTATTTGGCAGTTTCTCAAGTTACTCCCCTCAGGCAGCTTGAGCCAGTAGAACTAGATCCTTTCATCTCGGCAGAGCTAACTGACAACCAGCCGCCTGGTTTCCTAGGAAACAAAATCTTGGCTAGAAATAGTGAATCATTTCCAGGTCACTTTCAACATGGAGAGTGGAGCAGGGAAGCATTGGACTGAGGAGGAGGTTAAAGCCTTGTTAAGCGTCTGGTCAGAAAAAAACATCAGAAAGCAACTCCACGGCACCCTGAGGAATAAAGGGATATTTATCTACATTGCTAAGCGATTGCAGGAGTTAGGAGTTTGCAGGGATTGGAAGCAGTGCCGTGCAAAGTATAAAAACCTCAAGTATGAATACAGAACGGTTAAATATGCCCACAACTCTGGGGATGTCTCTAAAACCATGAAGTTTTTCCATGACCTGGATGCCATATTGCGATACGAACCCGTCACACAATTAGCGGCAGAAGAGAACGGCAGGTGTTCTGCAACTGAGACGCAGCTGAACACGAGCCCCACAGCCGAGAGCACGCAAGGTAAAAACCTGGTTTTTTGCTTCTATTTCTTTCTCTTTGCTTGAAACCCAAAGGGAACAAAACCGAAGCCCGAGTTTGCCGCTGGAGCCGAAGCGGAGGCTGCGCAGCCCCGACAGCACGGTTAGAACTGACTTGATGCGCTCCTCAAGCAGGGGAATAAAATGTTAGCACCCACCAGTGTTGAAGTCTGTAAATACAGCGTAATTCTGGCAAAATTATGCTAACGGCTTGTGTTGCAGCCTCGGAGAGTACTGGCTGGTGTCAAGGCTCCTGCACCTGGTTGAAACATTGCATTAAGAAAAGCAGTTTTCTTTCCGTTTGCAGCACTTTGGAAGCGGGTTTTGTAGAGCTGCAACTCAGGTGTAAACTTAAAGATTCAAGGCTGAAACTGTCGTGAGGTTTTTTTAAATCGTTATTTGTGTTACAAGTGAAATTTAGGATTTTTGTTCTTATTTCTCTGTAACTGAAAACTTACATATGATGACTGAAGGTAAATTAAATGAATTTGTAAGCAATTCAACTTAAATATTTGAGAAAGAGGGATGTTTAATAACGTCTCAAAAAATTGTAATATAGCAAGGGAGGTAAAAAATAATCAAGTTTATCAGACTATTTTGAGGCAAACCAAATGAATACAACTGCTTTTGTTCTGAAAGGGTTTCTACCAAATTATTTGCATCTCTTGTTTTATTCAGCCCTCTCTACATACGCATTTAAGCTGTGCTTAACATTTCATTAGGGTCAATCTGCTATTTGACATCACTCAGATCTCCTTGTCTCATTCTAAATGTCACTGAAGCATAAGCCCCAATAATAGTTGTAAGTACTAAAATAACGTGGCTAAAAAGAGAAACTAAAAGCGTAGCTGTTTGTTCCCACAATATGTGGTGATTTACATTAATTAAGATTGTGAATCTTTTATAAGAAAACAAAAACCTCAACATTAGTATCAGAGGAGACTGTCAAAGGCACAGAAAGGAGCTGGACATCTGACTGGCTCTAGTACGTTTCCGCGTCTCCCTCGATCATACTGTTTTACAGGTCTGAGTAAAATAAATTGCCATTTTTCTTGTCATTGTTTAGCTTAATGGAAAGCCTGACCTTAATTTCTCATCGCTAGCAGAAAGCCTCTGATCTGTCAAAGTCACTTTAAATTAAAATGGCAATTTTACAGTATTTTAACATGTGCTTTCTGCAGTGTATTGCAATCCAATTTTTATTTTTAAACTTGGAGAACCGAGGCCAATACAAGCTGTTACATGAAAATAAGACAGTGTCCTTCATGTGAGGATCTGCCCTTAGATTACCGTCTGTGTTTTAATGTAGTTTGCACCAACTGCTAATCCCAATTCACATCTGCCTTAGTTCTCTAGCAAATTTAAATCAGAAAAGGTTAATTTCAGTTGTGAATCCCACACTACAATAGGTATTAAAAAAAATTACTCCTGGGTGAGACACACCTAATTTTGAAGCATTAGGACAGTCTGGGTCTGAAGGTGGTATAATTAAATATAACTCTTAAATGCACAAGCATTTCTGTTCCTCCTTTAAAACAACACAAAACAAAACCCAAAATGAAACAAACGGATAAACAAAAATGTAAATGCAACTAACAGTAATAATGCAACACTAATGGCAAGAATTTAAATGCAAAGATTTTCACAACAACCTAATTCAGCCACAAAGAAAACACACTAAGATAGAAATGTGTCCTACAGCTATGCAGAATGCATACAACCAGAACAAGGGGCAGAGAGAGCAGCTGTGAACATCAACTTTCTTCATTTAAGAATACAGGTCGGGCAAGTAACTGGAGTACTAGAGGCCCAGTCCTTGTCCAACTGCAGTCGGAGTTGCACTGTCTGCATAACCCAGTACTTTGAAGGGCACTTGTAAGGCTAACATGGCATCTGTGGCTCTGCAGCTGATGCTCACAAGTTCTTCTGTGGGGGCAGATCTGACAGTGTTGCTCCCACAGAAGGGAACATAATTCCCTATATTGCTCTCACGGAAAGGAACGAGATTCCCGGCAGAGGCAAAGGCAGCCCACTGCGACTGCCCCAGCAGTGGACCTGGCTGCTCCCCCTCGCGTCTTCGGGAGGAAGGGGCTGCTTTAATGTGGGTATCATCATCCCTAAGGCAGGCAGACCAACGTACATTTCTGTCCCTGCAGGTTCCCTCCTCGGCTTCTCCCTTTCAACCACAGAGCCTTACAGGAGAGGAGGGAAAAATGGCCCTCCCCTCTTTAAAGGGATGCCGAGACACCTCATTTTGACAAAGGTGGAGGAATCAAGGAGGTCTAGGCTTGTGACTTGGGTAGCAAGAACAAAATGCTGTCATCAGACTAAAAGCTGTGCCGAATAATACTGTCCACCATGCATGAATCATTTAGTTTGAAGAACTTGGTAGCTATACTAATTTGTTTTGTTTAAAAAGCATGACAAGGGACAGGGCATGCTCCCAAAGAAATGACTGTACTTTTACCATTCTGCACAGCCTCAGTGGAAATACTCATATCCATCCTTAATGTAAAGCTACAAGCGCTCCTTTGTGTTTGATTTGCCTGATTATCTCAACTACTGGGAGATTGTTGGGGAGGGGGAGGAAGGGTTAAAAATAGACTACTTTTATGGGACTGAATGGTATTTCTATAGTGTTTCCCTGAGTTTTTTCTTCATATCTGGTAAAATCAGTTTTCTTTTGAAAGTGTGATTGAAGAAATTAATACTAAAAATCACAATCAAATCTAAGAAAGTGTGATTGAAGAAATTAATACTAAAAATCACAATCAAATCTAAGAAAGAGGTGTCTCAGGACAAACGTGGTAGCAACACACATGCCAATTCCCAGCTCTCTCATGGGAAGATGACACTTTGCATAAGCACAGTCAGCAGGGCAAGCCAGAGGTGTTCATGTTGTCCTCCCAAAATACATGTTTTCAGAGGCAGAGTTGTAGCTTAAATACTAACTAAAACAGGTACAAGTCAACGTCTTCACCTGTCTTAAAATGTAATTTGTGTATTATCTCAGTAACCAACAACAAATAAAATCCATGTGAAGTGATGGTGCACTATGAAAAATGGTATCTTTCATTAGAGTTCAAATGAATGACCTTTCCATTTCATTAACCAGTTTTGCTTGTTTCAAGTTAAATCAAGTATTAATAAATCAAGTACATGATTTACAAAAGTTAAGCTCACCTACTAATTCATGTTAAGTGACTTAACACTCTTTTATATTTCTCTATGTTTAAATATTAACTCACTGGTCACTTTCGTTAACCTTCACTTTACCATAGAAAATGCAGAAACATTACCAAGCCTGGGCAAAAATGCATTAGCAGTGATGATATTGTCATATGTACAAAACTCAGATAGCTACTAGAAATCCAAAAACATCCTTCAGAAATGCTCACTTGCAAATGCCACTCACATAGTTTTTCATGACTGCACTTAAACATTAAGGATGTCATTGGCAAGTATTTTATATACTTTTCTTCTTTTTAATGAGCGTGCAATAATCTCATCAAGTGACTTTTTTGCTCATCAGATGCTTGTTTTTTCTCATCAAACATTCTAACTTTTTTTTTGGTGTATGTTAAGGGTTCTTACTTCTGAAAATAGTAACTTGTTTCCCTTTAATATTACAATGTAATTAAGCCTGCTTATCCTAGAACGCATGTCACACTCGGCAGCCTTCCAACAGAGTTTATTTCCCCGCTCTATAGGCTGCTTTGCAGCCCTTCAGCAGGTCAAACGCCAGTCCAGGCGCTAGAGGTGGAGGCATGAGCACACCTTTCCCTCCTCATCCGGCCGCAGGGGGAAGCAGCTCCTGCCAGGGAAGCCAGGCAGACAGCTGGGAGCAGTTGGAGATGAGGCCACTGCATCCATGAGTCACTCTGAGCCCTGCTGAAAGTCAGGAGGATTTAGGATATTGTTTTCAAACGCAGTTTCCAGTTTCACCTACGTCAGGGACACCAGGCTGCATCCTAACCGCACCCCGTTACTGCTCCTGTGACGAACTACTGCAGCACCTTGAACACGGCAGCTTCGATCTCTGTGACCCGCCTGGCTGGAGCTGACACTAGCTCAACTCCTGCGCCGTGAATCAGCACTGCAAACCTCCTCTCGACATGGGACGTTGAATACAATGTACTGCCAGAGAACAACTTAAAAGTCTGCCCTCTGTGAAAATGAAGCTGATTCAGAACCTGACTTACATGCTGCTTTCTAAACTTACACAGCAATTGCTATGATTCTGCTTTTTAAACAAATGTTTAATGCCATACTGTAAAAAGCTGAATCCTGTCAGCATTCCTACATTTGTTTAAAAAGCAGTTCTCTAGTCAAAATGCTTTCATGCTTCCCCTATGCTATTAATGAATTTCACAGATTTCCAGAATTCTTTGCAGAACATTCTTATCTTCATATTCTTCTTGGATTTTCCTTTTTCTTTTTTGGTTGCATAAATGGATTTGTGGTTATCTGAATCCATATGCAAAGCCCACTTTTATTTGTATGTCTCTTACTTTTCATTATTTACCTTAAAACTGCCATTTTAATGTGCTACCCACTCGGAATGCTGAGTCAGGAAAGCATACAAGTTACTAGAATCAAGTCAGTTTCTACAAGAATATTAAAATACATTTCAAACAGGCTTCATATGCAAGATATAAAATAATTTAATTTACCTTCTTTAACTTGTGTCCCCTTATGAGGACAGGCCAAATTGATTTTAAATTTAATTTAAATACAAATTAACTGTGGAGATTACAAAGTTAATAATTTGCTCATTGTTATCTTCCAAATGTGTATGGACATTTTCACTTAAACGAATTTAAGCTTAGTCCATACCTATTTTTCATCTAAAAACTCTTTCCTTCCCAGGTGAAATATCAATTTCTTTAGAAGATGATGAGGATGCTCCAGGAGATCCACTACTTTTTATGTCTCATGTCAGACCAGTTCAACTAGGTATAGTATGATGGCGCAGAGATCAAA